TGAGAAATTCACCCTTTGAGCCCCCAGTGCTCAATCCATTCACAACCTGGCTTCCTACTTCCCAAAGAAAAGAGACCACCATTCCCAACATTCCACTTGGGCCATCCCTATCTTGGAATGACTCAAATGCTTCCATCTTTTTAAAAGCTTATTTATGTATTTGTCCTGTGAGTGAGAGAGACCGCAACAGAGTCCTTACGACATGAACCTCCTCCAGGCTCAGGCAGGCCGGCTCATGGACCTGCGTACACCTGGAGCACTCAGGGAGGTTTCTGGTGGTGAGCTTGGAACCTTCCCATGGTGTCGACCTCAGCGATCACTGTGTGACTGCTGCAGAACCATCCAGCCCCACATGATCCCATCTTAGCTACCTCTCCCCTGGAAACCTACCCCTTTCTCTCCCCTATTAAAAAATACTCTTGCCTCTCTCTACCTTACAGTTCAGTGTACAGGAAAAGTAGTCCGTGCCTGCTGTCTTCACCCTCCTCCTCTCATTAGTCCTCACTATTATTCTTTTGGAGAAGGTGTTCATTTTGAAGATGTGGTTTGAAGTGTTTATGGAATATTTAGGTCCAGGAGTTCATAGACTGTACAGGTGAGCAACTCAGAAGGCAGGTTTGGTCTAGAGATTTAAAATTAGTATAAGGGAGTTCTAAAATAATAAATTCAAATGGTAGAAAAAATTCAGACAGAAGAAAGGGAATAAATAAGTCTCTTATCAAATACTAATACCTTAGTTCCCAGAAACCACTTGTATATCCTTCCAGATGGCCAGCCTCATGGGCAGGGGACCTCTGCACTCACACAGGGATGGTTGGGGCTCAGAAGACGATACCCCAAAGTGAAGGCCTCAGAAGCAGAACTTCCCTCTGATCTTCTGCCCTCCTGTCTCTCACTCCTCCTCCTCCCCTGAAGCAAGCCACAGAAACTAGAATCCCTGTTCCCCAGGGCAGGCCATAGAAACCAGAACTCCTTTCTTCCAAACAAGCCATAAAACCTAAAAATAATACTCGCTCTTCTGCCTTGCTGTGTAAGAACTGGCCATAAAGAAATTCTCTGACCCACCATTTCTGATACTGGATAATGAAACCCTCATTCCGGAGGGGTCCAGCCCCATACCTGCGAGGAAGGAATGCTGCACAGAAAGGCCTCTGGGTAAGCTGTGATAGTGTGGATGGGAAATAGATCAGTGTTTCAAGCCATGAGGTTTTGAAGGTGCCTTGCTATCGCAACATAACCTGCTCTGTCCTGATTGACAGAAACGTGAAAAGTGCTGAGAGAGAATTTGCTGGAGCTGATATTTATGGGGAGAAGATGGGGGCCAGCAGGTGGTGTGGTGGTTAAGAAGCTGAACACCCCCACATGGTCAACCATTGTTCGAATCCTGGACCTGGTAGCTTGCTTTCTCACTTTTCCTCTCTCTCTGTCTCTGTCTCTCTCTGGTGAAAATAAAATAAATGAATGAATAAATAAAATTAAATAAATAATTTTTTAAAAAGATAAGATGAGAACCAGCAGATGGCATCATGGTTATGTTGCTGAACTTCCATGTAGTTGACCATGGTTTGAGTCCCAGACCTGGTAGCTTAAAACTCATGCTGGGCGTGTGTGTGTGCATGCCCAAAATCCTGAGAGGAAAATGGAAGAGAAGGGATTGCAGTGTGGCTATCCCCCTGGGGGTTGATTTCTCACTTCCTGTCTTTCTATCTCTTTATGTGTCTCTGGCAAGTGCACATGCCCTATAGAAAAAAAAAGAAAATAAAAATAAAAGAAAAGATAAAATGAAGAGTCATAGAGAGGTCAAGATAAGAAACTAGGAATGCATGAGACCCAGGAACATCAAGGAAATCAAGGAAAGAAACTGTTCTCTGAGAATCAGAGCATGGTCTACTTCTGAACTGAATGTGTCCAAAAGGCAAAGTAAAATCAGAAATAAAACATATCCACCTAATTTGGCCCCTGAGAAGTCTTTGGTAACCCTACCGAGAACAGTACCTGTGGGAGGGTGCTGGTGCCATAGCAGACAGAGGGCTGATAAAGTGGAGGGACTAACATGAGGGATCAGTGTGAGAGTTTAGCCAAAAAACAGGGAGACAGTTCTCTCTGGATGGTGGCAAGGGCTGTGCTGAAGTGACTGGCCTATTCTGGACATTTCCTATAAATGAAATCACAGTGCAATGTCTTCAAGGTTCATCCACGTTGTAGCATGTGTCAGGGCTTCATTCCTTTTTGTGGCTATGTCATATCCCATTGGATGGACAGACCACATTTTGTTGCTTCACTCCTCAGTGCATGAACCTCTGACTTATCTGCCTATTGACTGCCATTTCCATTAGATCCTGGTGCTCTTGGGAATGAATGAATGAATAGCATGAGCAGAGTTGCCCAAGGTCACAGAGTTGGAAAGACACAAAGTCAGGATTGGAAGCCAAGCTGCTCGTCCTCTGGAGCTTACATCCCAACCATCCTGCCCTACTGGGAGTCCTCTGAGCTCCTCCTTTTACATATGAAGATGATTGCTTGGCACATTGGCAGACAACCACTTACTCAAGCAGGGTAACTGATGATGGGAACACTTACAAAGGTGTGGGCAGAGTTAAGGAAAAGCAGTAAGGGTAGTGAGTTGCCTGGGGCTGGCAAAAATGGGGGGCCTTTATCACCCTCGGTGGCAGTGATGCCCAGAAGCCTCACCAATATGCAGCTGAGAAAGCGGGAGGAGCCAGAGAGAGTCATATCCAACCTCACTGCCCTCCAGTCTCATCAACTGGAAGCCAGGGTGTAAGGGAGCCCTAGGGCAGTTCATATGAGTGAGAAGATACAAATTAGCTGAGACTGGAAAAGTGAAATTCTGCTGGACCATGCAGCAGGCCAGAAAACCAGAAATGGACAAGGTTGGCTGCAAAGATGACAAGGAACGATAGCTCCTGGTAGCTATAACGTACAGCCATGCTCCCTATCTTTGAATGATTATTGCTTTCCTACTGAGAAACATTGTCCTCCAAAATCATAGACTGTCAATTTCATAACAAAGAATACAATATTTCACTTTTTAAAAAATGTTCACTTTATCTATTTCTTCCATGAGAGAGAGAAAGAGACAAGCACCCCCCAACAGGGTCTTCATGCTGCCATCCACCCCCAGTCTCTGTCACAGGGTCTCAGGCAAGTGCATGCATACCCAGCATGCATAGGGAGGCCTCAGGATACGAACTTGGAACCTTCCTTCCAATGGTCCAGCAATGCAGAGCCTTGCATCACTGATATCCCACTGTCTGGCCCCAAATATTCTACTTTTGCCCGGAGGGTCCAAGGTTACTTAGATCCTTCAAGATCTAACCTTAGAGAAGCAGCCTTGATGTGTAACTCAGGTGCAGAACTTCGGATAAAGGGTTCCTAGACAGAACACTCAACATCTATCTTAGCTTTATTGCTTGGAAGGAAACAGGGTCCTGGGTCCCCTTTGTAATCTAGATTTCAAGTTGACCACTTTAGACAAAATTGTTTTGCTTTGAGCCTATCAAAACACTATTTTGTTTAGATTTCATCTAAACTCCACCTTCACGGAATCCTTTCATATCTCTATTTCTTCCTCTGTTTGGGAACAGTTCATGGCTCCCCTGGTGGGTGGGCTCCCTCACTAACAGGGTCAATAAAACTAATTCTATTGGACAAGGTTGGCTGCAAAGATGACAAGGAACGATAGCTCCTGGTAGCTATAACGTACAGCCATGCTCCCTATCTTTGAATGATTAGTGCTTTCCTACTGAGAAACATTGTCCTCCAAAATCATAGACTGTCAATTTCATAACAAAGAATACAATATTTCACTTTTTAAAAAATGTTCACTTTATCTATTTCTTCCATGAGAGAGAGAAAGAGACAAGCACCCCCCAACAGGGTCTTCATGCTGCCATCCACCCCCAGTCTCTGTCACAGGGTCTCAGGCAAGTGCATGCATACCCAGCATGCATAGGGAGGCCTCAGGATACGAACTTGGAACCTTCCTTCCAATGGTCCAGCAATGCAGAGCCTTGCATCACTGATATCCCACTGTCTGGCCCCAAATATTCTACTTTTGCCCGGAGGGTCCAAGGTTACTTAGATCCTTCAAGATCTAACCTTAGAGAAGCAGCCTTGATGTGTAACTCAGGTGCAGAACTTCGGATAAAGGGTTCCTAGACAGAACACTCAACATCTATCTTAGCTTTATTGCTTGGAAGGAAACAGGGTCCTGGGTCCCCTTTGTAATCTAGATTTCAAGTTGACCACTTTAGACAAAATTGTTTTGCTTTGAGCCTATCAAAACACTATTTTGTTTAGATTTCATCTAAACTCCACCTTCACGGAATCCTTTCATATCTCTATTTCTTCCTCTGTTTGGGAACAGTTCATGGCTCCCCTGGTGGGTGGGCTCCCTCACTAACAGGGTCAATAAAACTAATTCTATTGGGTGGTAGTTTTGTTCTTGGTAGTCTCAGTCTGATTGGGCTAGGTCATGGTTGACTACCCAGGGAGGGCACAGAGCAGGGTGGAGAGTAGATCTAGAAGGTCGAGCAGGGAAGACCTGGCATGGAAATAAGGAAGTTGGAGGGCAGAGGAAGGAGCGAGGACTTTCATTTACTCGCTGCTCCTAAAAATCTGGGGCTGAATAAAGGGCTATCAAAATGAATTGTTCATTTTCGGAGCGGGGCTTGAAGCAGTGGGAAGATCTAGGCCCTTTTCTGAGGCATAATTGAAGTACTGGGTCTCATGACATTTGAAGAGCTACCCCTTTCTCCCAACTGCCATGAGACCAAGAAAGAGAAAGGAAAAGGGGAAAAGGGAGAATTCTAAAAATGCCCGTTTTCTGAACATCATCTTTGTGCAGGCATCTGGGGGAGGCTGGCTGGGGCAGGGTCATCTGCCAGGCAAGCCTGAGCGACTTGGCCCTTCTTGTTTATCCCAGATACATCTGGGGCAGCTGCCAAGGCCCGCCCCCACTTTGCAGTCATTGGAGGAACTCAAAGTCAAAAGCTCTGCTAAGAATCAGTAAGTTTCATTTTACTGTGACTGGGGGGCTTGCTGGGGCCTGGTTCCAGAGGGCTGAGTCCAGCCTCAAGCAGGGAGCAAGCCCTCACCATGCCGGCCTGCTGCAATTGGAATGATGTTTTCCAGTACGAGACCAACAAAGTCACCCGGATCCAGAGCATGAATTATGGCACCATTAAGTGGGTCTGCCACATGATTGTCTTTTCCTACGTTAGGTAAGTGGGGCGTGGGGAGAACTCCAGATCTCCACAGTGCTTGACAGCACAGGAAAAACCAGGATGAGGCCCCAAGTGGACATCCTGGATTCCGCGTGGCTGAGGCGCGCTCAGACGGCTCAAGCCAGCTGCTCCGCTGTGAGGCAGCGACAGGCAGGAGGAAGCTGCTCCGGGCTGCAGCAGAAGGAAGTCAGGGTGCCTGCGTTCAGGTCTAACCAGGTCTGCCAGGGTGAGCAGGGCAGGACGTACCTAGGAAAAGTGGACAGTGCAGGGCAACACCCTGGAGTCTCCGCAGAAGGCAAGGATTTCAGGGCATGGCTGATAATGATGGCATCTGAGTCACTTTGCCAAAGGAGAAGAACAGGGCCAGGCTTGTGAATGCAACTGTCAGGAAGGCCCCTTTGTTTTAGAGAACAAATTTAGCCTCTTACGGAAACATAATTCATGCACCACACAATTCACCCATTTAAAGCATACAATTCAGTGTTTTAAAAAGAGATTTTTGCCTCAGGGCATGTGTGCTTCCCAGAAAGAAAGAGAGACAGACACAATGAGAAGGAAAGTGAGAAATCACCCCCCAGGGGGTATGGCCACACCACGATCCTTTCTCCTCTATTCTCCTTGCGGGATCTTGGCACACAAGCACACACACCCAGCATGATTTTCAAGCCACCGGGTCCAGGACTCAAACTGCAGTCGGCCATGTGAGAGTCGAGCAATGTAACCAGTATGCCATCTGCTGGCCCTCAGGATTTTTTTCTTTTTTTGAGAGAGATTTTTTTCTATAGGGCGTGTTTGTTCCCTGAACAGATAGAGAGAGAGAGAGTGAGAGTGAGAAATCACCTCCCAGGGGGATGGCCACGCTGCAATCCCTTCTCCATTCTCCTCTCAGGACTTTGGGCACACATGCAAATGTGCCTGGTATGAGTTTCAAGCTGCTGGGTTTTGGATTCAAATCACAGTCAGGCACATGGAGGTCCGGCGCCAATGGCTGGTCCCACAACTCAATCGTTCTTAATATATTTGTGAAGTTGTGCAACCATCACCACAATCAATTTTACAACATTTTGTCGGCCCAAAAACAAACCTCCTACTCTGGCCGGCACTTTCAACCTCCCTCCCCACCCTGCCCACAGGTCCAGCACCCACTAATCTACTCTCTGTCACTGCAGATTTGACTGTTCTGAACATGTCCCACAAATGGAGCTATACCTGTGGCCCTTCGTGACCAACCGTGTTCACTTAACATGTTACACTAGTAGCCCACGTGTCATAGCCTGTGTTGGTACTTCCTTGTTTTTATGGCTGAATAATATGCCACTGTATGGATAGACCGCCTTTTTCCTTATTGTTCTTTTTTTTTTTTTTTTTTTGAGCAAGCCCTCACCATGCCGGCCTGCTGCAATTGGAATGATGTTTTCCAGTACGAGACCAACAAAGTCACCCGGATCCAGAGCATGAATTATGGCACCATTAAGTGGGTCTGCCACATGATTGTCTTTTCCTACGTTAGGTAAGTGGGGCGTGGGGAGAACTCCAGATCTCCACAGTGCTTGACAGCACAGGAAAAACCAGGATGAGGCCCCAAGTGGACATCCTGGATTCCGCGTGGCTGAGGCGCGCTCAGACGGCTCAAGCCAGCTGCTCCGCTGTGAGGCAGCGACAGGCAGGAGGAAGCTGCTCCGGGCTGCAGCAGAAGGAAGTCAGGGTGCCTGCGTTCAGGTCTAACCAGGTCTGCCAGGGTGAGCAGGGCAGGACGTACCTAGGAAAAGTGGACAGTGCAGGGCAACACCCTGGAGTCTCCGCAGAAGGCAAGGATTTCAGGGCATGGCTGATAATGATGGCATCTGAGTCACTTTGCCAAAGGAGAAGAACAGGGCCAGGCTTGTGAATGCAACTGTCAGGAAGGCCCCTTTGTTTTAGAGAACAAATTTAGCCTCTTACGGAAACATAATTCATGCACCACACAATTCACCCATTTAAAGCATACAATTCAGTGTTTTAAAAAGAGATTTTTGCCTCAGGGCATGTGTGCTTCCCAGAAAGAAAGAGAGACAGACACAATGAGAAGGAAAGTGAGAAATCACCCCCCAGGGGGTATGGCCACACCACGATCCTTTCTCCTCTATTCTCCTTGCGGGATCTTGGCACACAAGCACACACACCCAGCATGATTTTCAAGCCACCGGGTCCAGGACTCAAACTGCAGTCGGCCATGTGAGAGTCGAGCAATGTAACCAGTATGCCATCTGCTGGCCCTCAGGATTTTTTTCTTTTTTTGAGAGAGATTTTTTTCTATAGGGCGTGTTTGTTCCCTGAACAGATAGAGAGAGAGAGAGTGAGAGTGAGAAATCACCTCCCAGGGGGATGGCCACGCTGCAATCCCTTCTCCATTCTCCTCTCAGGACTTTGGGCACACATGCAAATGTGCCTGGTATGAGTTTCAAGCTGCTGGGTTTTGGATTCAAATCACAGTCAGGCACATGGAGGTCCGGCGCCAATGGCTGGTCCCACAACTCAATCGTTCTTAATATATTTGTGAAGTTGTGCAACCATCACCACAATCAATTTTACAACATTTTGTCGGCCCAAAAACAAACCTCCTACTCTGGCCGGCACTTTCAACCTCCCTCCCCACCCTGCCCACAGGTCCAGCACCCACTAATCTACTCTCTGTCACTGCAGATTTGACTGTTCTGAACATGTCCCACAAATGGAGCTATACCTGTGGCCCTTCGTGACCAACCGTGTTCACTTAACATGTTACACTAGTAGCCCACGTGTCATAGCCTGTGTTGGTACTTCCTTGTTTTTATGGCTGAATAATATGCCACTGTATGGATAGACCGCCTTTTTCCTTATTGTTCTTTTTTTTTTTTTTTTTTAATTTGCCAGAAAGCATATGTGCGGCATATGTGCTAGTTAGAAAGAGACAAAGAGAGAGAGGGAGAGAGACAAGGCACTCCCCCAATGGGTCATGGTATTTCTCCCTCCTTTTGGGATCTGGGGCATACAAGTACACATGCCAGTGTTTGTCAAGCCACTGGTGTGGGGCTTGAACCACACAATCAACCATGTGGGATCCAGCTGCCTTAACCACCATGCCACTGGCTGGCTCCTCTGAGTCATGTTTCTGAAAGCTCTCACAGGCTGCTGTGCACAGCATAGATTGTAGTGTGGCAAATGATGGTGGAAGGACCAGGAAGAAGTCTTCTGGAGCAGTCCAGATAAGAGGAGAGGGAGGCTTGGACTGGAACTGGATGGCGAGCTGGAGAGGTGGGGACAAAGCTGGAATCTGCTCGGGAGGGAGGCCTGACGGATGTGCTGGAGTGAGAATGGGTCTGGGTTACCGTGGATGCTGATGCCTCTCACTGACATGAGGAAGACAGGCAAGGCAGGTGTGGACTAACAGCATGGTTAAAAATGGCAAGCAAGTGGGACCAGCAGAGGGCACAATGGTAGTGTAGCTGGACTCCCATGTAGTTGACCATGGTTCTAGTCTCGGACCCAGAGGCTTAAAACACACTGGGCACATGAGCATGCATGCTCAAAATCCCAAGACGAGAATGGTGTGGCCATCCCTGCTGGGGGGTGATTTCTCACTTTCTGTCTCTGTCTCATTGGCGAGCACATGTGCCCTATAGCAAAAGTCTCTAAAGAAAAAAAAAAGTCAAGCAAGTAATCATAATATCCCAACTACCCCACCATCTGTCAGCATCCCTTTACTAATGTCTAATACAGAAAAAAAAAAAGCTGGAATCATATACTCTCAAAGAAAAATACGGTCCTTTCAAATGAGTGACTTTAGCTTTCTGAAAAGCCGCCACCGTGTCTGGTTTTCTCCCACCACTGTGCAACAATGGAGGCTTCTCACTCACTCACAAGCTCCGGGGATCTCTGCTCCAGTCCAACTGCCCAGGACTGGCACCTCTTGGCGCTCCTGAGTTGTTATCACAGGGCTGGGAAAAAGATTCTTCACAGATCACACATATGCCAGCTGGCTGGTGTGTACAACGCCCAAGAGAGAGAGCCAAGGTGGGGCTGGAGAAGCCAGTGGGGGCCAGACTGTGGGCAGCCTTGAACTTACATCCTGTGAGACCCAAGAAAGCCTGAAGAGTTGTTCTTCCCACCCCTTAGCAATCTATTATCAAAATGTTCACACAGACAGGGAGGCAGTGGTGTGGTGGTTAAGGTCGCGGGACTTCCACACAGCTGACTACAGTTCGAGTCCTGGACCTGGCAGCTTGCTTTCTCACTTTCCCTCCCCTCTTTTTGTCCCTCTCTGGTCAAATTAAAAAAATAAGTAAATAAATAAATAAAGTTAAATAAAATTACTCTTTTTAAAAAAATATTTATTGATTGATATTCAAATAATTCTATAGGTTTGGTTCTCGGAGTGGGTAATCATGATTTGAGCAGCCGGAGTTTGGAGATATCCCCATGTTCTGAGCACCACCTCTTCAATACACATCACACTCTAATTTCTCAGCCTCCCTTGCAGGTAGGACATAGCCTGAGACCGAAGGTTTTCTTTTCTTTTTTTAAGAATTATTTTATTTAACTTTATTTATGTATTTATTTTAATTTGACCAGAATGGGACAGAGTGAGACAGAGAGAGAAAGCGAAAGTGAGAAAGCAAGCTGCCAGGTCTGGGACTTGAGCCATAGTCAGCTATGTGGGAGTCCAGCACTCTTAACCGCCATGCCACGTGCTGGCCCCAGAGACCCAAGCTTTTCAAACATATGCACTACGCAACATTCTGACACATGGAGAACATGGGTGGCGATAGGAGCGGAATTCATACTTTGGAATGTGTGGGGCCACATTGCCCTTCGACCTATGTGATAGGGGATACCTTTCCCAGGGCCTCATGCTGGCCCTCTGCCGACTGCAGGGCTCCTCACGGAACAAGGGTCTGTGGGTCTGTATTAGCTTCTGCTTTTCATACAGCAGTAGAAACGTATACAGCCCCACAGAGTTAAATCGAGGAGCCCATGGG